GGGGGGTAGGGCTGGGTTACAAAGTCTCAAGCGGGGTGCGCGGGCACCCTGGGGTGCTTCTGAGGGTGCGCTCGGGTGCAGAGCATGGCTCCCAAGGCGATCCCAGCCTTGAAAGCTTTAAACTTCAATGTTTCAAAAAACACTGGGGTGCTGACAGAAGCGACAGTTTTTGCAACATCTGGCCCTTGAAAGCGCTCTACAGCTGTGACTAAACAGAAGTGCACGGCTGCAAGGTGTTTTAAAGGGGCCTGAGCCTGCTAAAATCTGGACCCTCATTGCATGAGGGTTCAGATGAACAGGTTCCAGCACAGAGTAGCTTCAGTAGCGTCTGTCTGCACCACAGGAAAATCAGGTCCTGCTTTGAACCCGTCTGTGAGCTGGGGCAGTGTTAGGAGGGTGCTGTGCCTGGTCAAACCTCTGGGCATCCCAACCTGTGCCCTGCCCCCCCTAGGCAGGGTAAGTGGCTGCTTTGGGATGCAGCCAGGACTGTACTGCACCTGGCCACCCATCTGCTCCCATGCCTTCCCCCACCCCGCCATGAGCCTGGGACCCCTGAGCATTGCTCCTATGCTCACACCTGTGCACCCCCAACCAAGGCACCACCACATGAATTTTTGGTACAGCATAATCATGTTCTTTAGTAAACTCCATCAATCTTATTTAAATCTTTTTTTGGTGAGAGGGCAGGCAGAAGTTGCAATTCTGGGCATTGACATCTTTTTTGGTGTCCAGCCAATCTGTGCCTTCCTCCCCCTCTAGGGGAATCCTTGGGGAACTCCAGGCACTAACCCCTGGAAAGGTTGCTGGTCTGGGTACTCTACCAACCCCTGGTGGCATTTTGGCAGCACTGCAAGCCTTAAAGGTGACTTCTACTTAGAACAGTGGTGCCAACTTCCCACCCACCGGCCAGATCCAGCCTGCCCGTCAAGCTGTCATCTGGCCTACAGGGCTTCCCATACGTCTGGAAATGTGGAGCAATGGCAACGTTAATTCCCACTCCCCTTCTGCTATATTTCTGGAGTTGTGGGGTGGATACCATGCCCCTGCACACTAGGTTGTGCCAGTAGGTGGTCAGCCCAGCACATGGGATTAGGCTGGTGGATGGGCACATCTGGCATTTGGGGTTGGGACCAATCTGTAGTGTGGACTCATTATGGTGCACTGAGTTGCACCTGCACGTTGACCCCCTTTGCCAGCCCCACAACCTCTCACAGACCTACCTATGACACTCTTCCATCCCACAGTGCCAGGTACCACTGACTTAGGACCCCTTGCAATGTATGTGTGGACAGCTTCAACCAGGGACATGTGTGAAATCGCGACATTCTTGGAACAGTTCAAGTGTTATGTTTATCTACTGTGTTACCTCCCTTCACCCAGAAGCACCACACAGCCCTGGGGTGCACACAACGTTATTCTGGCTGCACTGGACAGGCCTGGGGCATCCACAGCACCAACCCAGATGCTCCGCAGCAATCCATGTGGTATCACTTCCATCTGAGATCAGACCACAGAAACCTGGTGCCTCGCATAGTATTATCCATTAGACCCCCCCCCCCCCCCCATGCAAAGAGCCCTGGGGGCACTCAAAGTGTTGGCCTCACATGCCGCATTGGATTCACTCATGGTTCCAAATCTGCCAAGGAGCCATATACAGGTTTCCCTCACTTTAGGCTGTACACACATTCCTGGAAAATGGTGCATAACTCGAATTCACATAAAGGGAACCCGCTTTACAATGCAACAAATAGGGATATGTTCCAAGACCATGACTGTACTGACCCCCCAGACCCATTTCTACCACTTATACAAGACAATTTTGGTACTCACCAACAGCAGACAGTACACACAAGCACAGCAGCATCATAATGGGGATGGCAACTACAGAAACGCGTCTCAGGCAACAAGTGAAGAGCATAGGTTCACACAGGAGACTTTATTTTGGTGTGTATCACTCTCACAATGCACCGCACAAGGCAGCTGACTGTGGGTTTCCACTACAGTGATTGCATAAGAGTCAATTTACCTCATATATAATGAATTTTGTGTATAAAAAGGGTCATCACATAAGAGCGAATTCACACATACAGAACCCGCATAAAGTGAGGGAAACCTGTATACGCACACAGGAACATGCTTAAGGATCCTTTTCTCACAGAGTAAAGCAAATCAAGAACCTAAGCCCTGGGTCCTGCCCCATGGCTTGGCAGTGCCATCTCAGCTTTTAGGGGCTCATATCCCACCTATGCTGGCTATCCAGACCTGACCCTTCCCTTACCCTCAAAGTCCCAGTGTGAACACTTCTCCTTCCTGCTCTCTAAGGCCTTGTCTACATGGCAAAGGTCTGCTGGTAAAGTTACATCAGCCACAGTTGGGAAGACATCACATAGCAAAGCTGATGTGCCTCTGTGGCATCTCTGAATGCAGATGCAGCTCTGCTAGCAGAAGAAGGTATCTACTATTTCTACTGTCGTCAGGGGGCTAGTGAAACTGGTGGCAGGCAATTTTCTGCTGCCAGCAGAGGTATGTCTATACCAGGGAGCTTTGCTCACATTGAAGTTAAGGCAGCTGTATCCTCCATGTGATCTAACCCTTGCCCCTGTTATAAAGTTCTGCTGGCAGAACTATGTTGGATGAAGATGTGAGGAGGTCACACCCCTTACCCTTTGTAACTTTCAGTTTATTGCATCATAACTCCCTACATAGTCAAATCCTAAAGGTGATAGCAGGATTTTTAAATGCCTAAGTATTATCTGGTCTTCAATGAAGTATTAAGTATTATCTGTTCTTTGTCACTCCCCACCTTCCCCCGCCCCCCTGCTCCTACTTGGTCCAGCCCCCCAGGGAGCCACGCAACTGGTCCTGCCCAGCATGTGGCATAGTGAGGGTCTAGGGAAGGGGGGGGGGGGCACTTACCTGCCCCCTTTTCCAGTGGGACAGGGGCCCCCAGCTGTCAAGAGTGGTGCAGTGCCAGCAGTGGGCACGCTGTGTATGCGCAGGTTTTAAAAGGGCCTGGCAATGGCAGAAGCCGCAGTGTAGGTCCAGTGCTGGAACAAGACACACAGGCAGAAGCCTGTTGCACCCCCGTTGAGCCCAGCACGCACCCAGTGGACCCCAACCCAGACCCCCAGCGCACCTGGGAGGTAGGTGGGGTCTGCAGTTGGGTGGGTGCTGGGCCTCTGTGGGAGGCAGGTGAATGGAGCCAAGGAGGGTCATGCCCTCACCTGGCTACTACTTGGCCCAGGCACCCAGGGAGCCACGCAACCAGAATGCGCAAACAAGTGCACTCTGGGCCTGGCATACGAGTTAGTATGGGAGTCAGCACAGGAGGGTGAGCAGGAAGGGCACAAGGCTCTTGGCAGTGAGCCTGAAGAGAGGGGGTGGCACAACAGTAGCCTGGACTGTTACCTGCATGATGGTGGTGACGTGCTGCCCCCTGAAGATCCCCACCCCGCTCCCCCGGCACCACTGAGGCCTCTATCCAGACAGAACCCATGGCTCCAGCTTCCACCCAGACAGAGCCCCTGGCTCTCAGCTGTGGGGGCTGCCTGGCATGTATGCAGGTACCTGGGATCAGAAGCAAGGGTGCCTCCCCTTGTGGGGTATGCTCCACATCAGAGTTTTGGGAGTGCCGGACAGGGGAGCTCCAGGCTGCGGTGCAGAGGCTGCGTGCCATCAGGGTTGGTGAAGAGGAGATTGATGCCTACCACCAGGCTCTTTGCCCAAAGAATGAGGAGGGAGAAGCAAGGAAGGCTAGTAGGACAAGGGTGCACAAGAGGAGTCCCCAGGAAGGCCAGCTAGGGGTCATTTGGACAAAGGTAATTTCCAGCCCCAAGGCACCCTGTGCCAGGGTCACCACCCTGCTGGAATGTCAAAACGGATATAAACCCTTCGCAGCACCAGTAGAGCCAACTGAGCTGCCAACTCCATCACTAGAGGAAGAAAGGCAACTTGTAACCACCCCAAAGAAGAAACGCAGGGTGATCATTGTGGGCATCTCCCTCTTGAAGAGGACAGAGGGAGCAATCTGCCACCCTGACACCTTGGCCTGTGAAGTCTGCTGCTTCCCAGGTTCCCATATCCGGGATGTAGCTGAGAGGATCCCGAAACTTGTCCAGCCCTCTAATCACTACCCCATGCTCCTCATCCATGTGGGCACAAATTACATGACTTGGAGAAATCTCAGCCGGGTTATGAGTGACTACAGGGGTTGGGGGGGACTCAAGGGGTTGGGGGTGCAGGTAGTTTTTTCCTCAATCCTCCCAGTTTTGGGTCATGGACACAGGAGGGTGAGATGAATTGATGAAGTCAATGGAAGTCTGTGGCACTGGTGCCATTGCGACGGCTTCCGCTTCTTTGACCATAGCCTGTACTATAGAGTTGGAGGCATCAGACTGTTGGGAAGGGACGGCCTCCACCTCACTCCAGTGGGGAAGAAGCTCTTCTCGACCAGAATGGCTGGCCTACTCGACAGGTCTTTAAACT